GTACACCGGCTATCACTGATAAGACAATTAAAATAATAAACGCCCTAATTACAAGTGCGACAGTTGGCGTATATACGGACTCAAGGGGCTTTTTGGGGTTTCAAACTCCTCACTCACATTTGGGTAGCAAAGATGATTAAACTTTCGATTTTGAGATTTTTTTCCGGTATCACAGTTATAATCATGATAAAAACATAGCAAGGTAGAACCGTTCTCTCAATTTGTCGGCCATGATTTTTTTTGAAGTTTGCCAACATTTTAAAATTATATAAAAGTGAAAATAAAAAATTGAAATTGTTCGAAATTGTTGTTGCTTGAGATTGAAAATGAAAATGTGTGTGTGAGTTTGTGAGTAAATTTAAAAATTAAATTGTTTGGAAACGTCAAGAATTTTAAAAGTGACTCTCAGCGGTTATACCTTACTATATTTTTATCATGGTTATAATGTGATCGAAAATACAAATCATAGAATGACGATATGATCGAAAAAATATAAGCAATAATTTATAGAGAAGCTTTGAAAACCCTCCTTAATCGAATCTTGTTGCCGTCAGCGTCTGAACGGTTGATGTGTGGTCAATGAGTGTGCAAGAAAGAGCGTTTATGACAATACTTAAAAGATAGGTATTTAAGTAGTAAAGCGATATATTTATTGACCTCATATAACTGATGAGAGGTCTGTGGACTGAATAATATCACCGATATTAAACTTTCTGTGGAAAAAATTTAATTCTTGTATGTATACACTTAAGTGGTTATGCACGCTTGTGGTCAGGAGATTAAGTTAAGTGACATTTTGACTAGTTTTAGCTATTTTTCTTATTTACAAATGGCATAAATTACAAAAATTCAACAGACTTTAGAAATTGCACGCAAATATTTTAAACTTTTTATTCAGATTCTTTAGAAAAATTTTAGGTATGCAAAGTGAAAATTTCAGGACGCTAGACTTTTATTATAAAGTTATAAACATTAAATAAACAAAAGAAAAATAGCCAAAACTGGTCAAAATGTCACTCAACTTAATTAGTGTACATACATATTCAAAAGACTTATTTTACAAAAATAACATCACGAATAAAATGCATTCATAATTATTGCAAATTTAAAGTATTGCCTAGTAAAATTTTTCAGCACTTCTTAGCTGTCCGCTTTTCTTAGCGGTAGAATAATTTCATAATGTTGGTAGAAACGAGTCTCTAAAAAATTCGACCGCCCTGGCACCAAAAGCAACCGTTAAGGCTGCGAATAGAAAAATTTACATCATTTTTTTGTTTAGATTCCAGTTCACCTAATATGCCACATTTTATCAGAAGTACTTTAAAAGCTTTGTGCTAACTTTCAAATCGTAGAGAAAGTCCTTTGCTGTCAGTTGGCCATTTGGCCGTCGGTGATTGGTGTATATTCCTAGCTGTCATACTTAAGCATAACATTTTTTCTCCAATAGTGCCCATGGCTCAAAGCTTTTGCCTGATTTTTAATGCAAAGGTACAATAAGCGATGTTTCCCGAGAACTATACCCTAGCACTTTCCATGCGTACAATGTACATATGTTTGTTTCATGACCTTTTGGGCTCCTAATAGAACCCCAAAAATTCGGCTTTACTGAGGTCATATATGTACATACATCTCCATAGTTATACCCTGTTGGGATTTGCTGCCTGCCCATGTCTTTAATAAACAATCACGGCGCTGCGCCTAGCGTTCAAGCACAGCTCCAAGTCCAGCAATTCCAGGCAGGATTGACATTCTCAAAAACATCAAAAATTCGAGCTCTCCATGTTACATTTTGCTGAGCATTTGCCTCGATACCGGCTCTATTGGGGTCGTCTTACTAAAAACTTGCATTCTGTACTCTTGCATTTCCGCTTTTACCATTCGTTTTCAAACGGTGGCTTATGCTGCCCGGTGACTCTTTTTAGCGTCTACTGCATATGAACCCGGTCAGCATTTTTAATTATAATTTACATACTTTTTGTTTGTGTGTACTTCAATGGTCGTTTGATCCAAATTTTTTTTTAGTTGAGTTTCGCTTTTTCATCGCGGACATATCTAGTAAGGCAATTCACTCTTTGATGCGAAAACGCCAAAGGCAAAAATTAGCATTTGTTTTGTTGCTTTGCTGTGCGTTTGTGCGAAACGACGCCATATGTTTGTTGTAAATACTGCCGATTTTCGTACTTTCGCTCAAACGTACAGAGTTTCGCATCAAAAAGTGAACTCTAGTAGTTTGTATGCAACTCGTAAATGGCTCGAGAATGCTATAACTCGCCGAAAAATCTGCCAAATGATGGCTGGGTATATGCAAATATGTACTTATACATAGTACGCACACATACATTCGTTAAACCACCCAGTGGGAAAATGGCATGTTTGTAATGTATCGCCCCGTATGGCTGATACACTACAAGACGCAAAATTTTTTGTACAGGATTTGAACTCGCAACCAACAGGTAGGGATGTACACCGTTTCCAAAAAATCCTTTTGTTTTGATTTTTGTTTTAAACCGTTTAAAAAAACTATATTAAAAACCGGATCTTTTCGACTTACCGAAAAAAACCGAATTATAAAAATATTGCAAAAAACCAAAGAACATCAATATCGAATTAAATTAAGTTTTCACTCATACTTACTACTTACTGCTGTGCAACGCAAATCAATAAAAACAATATTTTTTTTTTCTTTTATTTTATATAACAACTTCATTTCCAAAAATAAGACATGTAATAAAGCGTAGGACATACATACATATTTATTCAAAAACACATTTCATTTGACAAACAAAAATTTTTGTCACGGGTGGGACATTTGTACAGTCAAAATAATAATAATAATAAAAAAATAGTCACGAATACTACCAAAGCCAAGCCTACAACAAAAATTATTGCTTTATTATAAAAAAAAAAAATTAAATTCCTCTGCCACAGGTGTGACAACGTTTGTCACGGATGAGGCACGTACGAACTTTTATATGAAGAGGGTGTTTTAGTATGGTCCATATTAAAGATTAGTTATTAAAAAATATAAGAAGCCAAGTAGAGGTTCAACTAACCCACTTTTTGCCCTAGAATAGTCATATTAAGACTCGCGATATGCTGCAGCTCTCAATATCTTTTTTTAGGGCAAATGGTGACACTAGGGGTATTCACGATCCGGTGCATACTGTCTAGCATGGTGCATACTAAGCACTGCACTGTATAGATAGCATGATTGGCGAATTGTTTGAACACATGAAACAACAACAATCATGCTATTTAGCATAAATCTATGCACCATGCTAGACAGTATACAGTGAATACCCCTACTATGTTTAAAAATATGTGTGAGAGCATGAATTATTAGCAATCGTCTGTAATTTTTCGAGGGCACTGCAATTTGGTTGAACTGCTTCGAGTATTTACACTTTTGTTTGTACTAGCTGGGTATTGTTGGAGTCAAAATATTTTTGAATAATCGAGTTTAAGGTCCTATTTGGCTCATATTTTAATATTTGCTTAACTAACTATGTGGAAACGAAAATGCAATAGTGGTAAACATTTTCAATGAATTTTTAACATTACGTAACAAAAACGAAACACAATCTCGATTTCTGTAATTAAATATAATAACTTTTAGTTTTTTTTTGTCACGGGTGGGACAACGCCAATCCTGCTAAATAATAACTCATAATATAGTATACCCAAGAAGCATTGTGCTGGGTTAACAATTCCAAAACAGCGTTGCCGTTTTGGTCCAATTGGACCAAAATTGGTAGCTTCATTCTCCGTTGGTAGCTTGGTTGGTTTGATGAAGCTTTTGGTAGGCAAATATGTTTTGAAAATACAACCAAATTGAACATAAAAATTTGTTTGCTTAATTTAAGTTTAAACGTTTAAAACACTGCTTTCACTTTGCTTACATCTATAAGATTTCTTTATTTTTGCTATATTTTATTAAGCAGACAATTTTCTGCAAACAAAAACTTACTTCCCAAAGCTATGACCGATTAGCTGTCGAAATTAACGAGAAATTACCTATCGTTTTGAAAGAAAAATTGGTGATAGGCAATTTGCAAAGTGTGAGTGTATTGGTAAAAAATGGTGAGTGCATGCAAATTGAATCAAATTTGGAATTTTTTTATTGAAATGCGTAAAATGTCTGCTTTTGTTTTTTCTCACACAAAAAAAAATTTATATGAATTGAATCAATCTCAAAGATATTAACATATTTTACAATAACTTAATTATTTTATTTAAAGGCCCGAATTTACTGTGTTTAATCTTAAAGATAGGTGTGAATAATTAACCAATACCGTAAACAATATTATGTGTAGTTTTAATTTTTACTGCTAATTTGTGTAGCTAAAAACCCCGCAAACTCGAGAAATCTCGTTTTAACGATGAAAAAAATTTGGTAGTTTGGAAACTGATTTGGTAGGCATTTTGGTACCTAATAATATTTTAAAGTGGCAACGCTGTTCCAAAATGATTGGAAAACGAATCTTTTTTTCGAGTCCCACCTTCGGTAACGAATGTAGCATAGGTTAGTATTCGATTTGAGAACTAGGCCGTTCTTCAGCAAAACGGAACCTTCGTTATCCAATGTATAAAAGACATACTTAAATTTGTTCTCAAATTTTTTGTTTTGCTTGTGGCTAAGGATTACAGAAAATCCAGTTATCTCAATGATACGGCTTCAAACCTTCGGCTAAACATTACCATATTAGGTAATGCATTCCCTATTTTCCCACCGGGGAGTTTCTTTTTACGTATTGAGTATGCACTGCTATGCAAACATGAGTTGATATTTCTGTGCATTGCCCCGATCGGTGATAACGAAAGTAAATTTCAAAATTATGTCACATTTTATATACATATGTACATATGTATCTCTGTATGTATACATACATATATTTGTGTACATTGAAAAAGCTCATAATCCATGTTGTCCCAGTACGTTCGCCAACTTTTGAATATCGGCATTCAAGTTGAATGCGAATCTTTACTCGATTTAATTCAGCAGTTCATGGTTAGTTAGATTTTGGCTTTCAAAAGGCCAACAATGCCTTCTTAGTTTCTTTTCATTAATTGTTCGTAGGAAAAAATGGCGCTTCAAGAAGAAAATAATCATACAAGCGAATCATCGCACAGCGTCTCAAATGGCAATGGTGCCCAATTGCCAGACTGGATAACAGCAGAACTGTTCAACAACTTCCTAAAGGAAACAGTGCCGGGATTCAGAGAAATCAAAAGCTTCAAAACAAAGTCCGCCGTGGCCCCGGGTGAAAATTATGCCACCATCATGCTGCGAATCGCAATGGAAATCAGCACGCAATGTTGGTTCGAGTAGCTATACTCGTAAAACACATGTACGATAAATCAAAAACAGTCAAAACTCAAAATTTTCCCAAATTTATTTTGTTTCATAAAACAGTTCACAGAGCGTATATCTAAAGTTGTGATTGTTTTTGATTTAGGGTGCGATATGTTAATACATATATTTATATATACATATATTTACATAAGTATTTATATTTCCATATTGCTTGTATATATCAACAGCTGGCAAGGAGAAGACTCTGTCATATATGATGAAAATACCACTTGAATCAATTAAGGACTTAATGGAGAAGCGAAACGTATTTGACGTTGAATCCATGATGTACCGTTCGGTGGTGCCCGAAATGGA